AGCTGTCTCCGGCCGCCAACCCACTCTGCCCGGTGCCCCCCACGGCACGCCGACCGTCGGACGGGAAAAACGAAAACAAAAAAAAAAGGACGGGGAACCGGAGGGGCAGAGGGAGAGGACGACACCGCGGGCGCCAGCAAGGAGCCCTCGGGCGACTCCGCGGCCCTGCGGGGATGGAGGAAGCGCGGAGCGGGGCCTGGGAGGACGGCGCCGCTGGCGAGGGGCAGCCGCAGCAAGAGAAGGAGGGAGGCCGGGGCCGTGGCAGACGAGGGCGCGGGGCGCCGTGCCAAGGAGGGGAGCGAGAGATCGGGGGGACGACGCGGCAGCAAGTAAGGGACGGAGGCAGCAGAGCCGCAGAAGGCCGCCCACGCGGGTCGGAGGCGCGGGTGCGGCGGCGCAGGCGCGGGGCGCCGGGGCCGCCGCCCCGTGGCCCCCCCCACGCAGGGGGCGTCCCGCGCCGCGCCTCCGGCGGGCCGCCGCCCGCCGGGGCGGGCCCGCCGCGGCGGCAGCCGCTCGCCACCCGTCGCGGCCCCTCGGCGGCGGCGCCGGCGGCGGCGGCGGCGGCGGGGGTGAGGCGGCGGCGGGGCGGCGGCGGCGGGCGGCGGCGGGCCGCCCGCAGCGCGCCGCCGCCAGCCGACCGCCGCGCAGGCCGACGCACGCAGACGCTGGGCCGCGCGCGGCCGCCTCCGCCGCCGCACGCCGCCGCGCGAACCCAGCGGCGCCGCCGTAGCGGACGCCCTCGCCGCCGCCGCCGCCGCGCCGCCAACGTCGGCGGGGTGGCGGCGTGAGGGGGCGAGCCCGCCGCCGCGGACAGGGGGGCCCGCCGCGGCCCCGAGCGGCCGGTGGCGGCGGAGGCGGCGGCGGCGGAGGCGGCGGCGCGGGCGCCGTCCGCCGCCGCAGCCGCTCCCCCGCGGCCCCCCCTCTGCGGCGGCGGCGTCGGCGGCGGCGCGGCGGTCGGCGTCGGAGGCGGCGGCGTGGCGGCGGCGGCGGCGGCGGCGGCGGCGTGGCGGCCGCCGCCTGCCGCCGCCGCCGCCGGCGCCGCCGCCCCGGCCGGGGGCGCCCGCGCCGCCACCGAGACGGGACGCCGCGCCGACCCCCCCGCCGCAGCGCGGGGCGGCGGTGAAGCCGCCGCCGGGGCGGCCGCGGCCCTGCGGGGCCACCGCCTCGAGGGGGAAGCGGCGCGGGCACGGCGGTGACCCGCCGACGGGGCCGGCGGCTGCCGGGCCACGCGGGGGCCCGCCGAGGGGAGGCGGGCGGCACGGCCGGGGCCAGCCACGGGGCGGCGGCGGCCTCCGCCGCCGCCGCCCGCTCCGTGCGGCGCCGGGGCGCGCCAGAGAGAGCAGCGGGGGAGGAGCTAGGAGGAGGACAGCGCGGGACCCCCCCCCCGGCGCAGTCAGCGCGGACGGGAGCCGGCAGCCCGGCCCGCGCGCCCGCGCAGCGGGATCGGGGGGCGCGCGTTTAACAGCCTCGCGGCCGCGTCGGGCCGCCGCGCACAGTGCCCCCCGGCGACCGCGCGCCCGACCGCAGCCGCGGGCGGCGCGCCCGCGCCACACGCACGGGCGGGCCCGCGCCCGGCCCTGGGCGCCGGGCCGGACGGCCGGCCGCGCACCGCGGACCCCCGCCCGCGCCCTCGGGTCAGGGGCGCGCCGAGGCGCGACCGGGCGGACCGGTGGCGGAACCGGGGCGGCCCGCACAGGCCGCCGGGCCCCAGGAACGGGCACACCGGGGCCGCGGGCCCGCGGCCGCGCACCGCCCGCCGGGCCCGGAACGCGCGGCCGCGCGCCGCGCGGCGCAACGCCGCGGGACCCCCGAACGACGACAGCGTCCCCGGGGCCCGGGGAGGGGGGCACCGCGCGCGCGCGCCCGCCGCACCGCTCGCCGGGCACCGAGCGGCGGGCCTCGCGCCACGCGGCCAGCCAACGCCCCACGGGCCCCGCGAAGCTGGGCGCGCGCGGCCTGCGCCCGCGCCCACCGCAGGCCAGGCCCCGAGAAGCGGGCTACGCGGGCGCGCAAGGCAAGCCGGGCCCGGGAAGCGGCGCCCCAGCGCCTGCGCCGACGGGCCCCGCGCAGCGGGCCCGCGCCCGCGCACCGGCCGCCGGGCCCCGCGAAGGCCGCGCGCGCCCGCGGGCCGCGCGCCGCCGTAGGGGCCCCGCGAAGCGGCACGAGCGCCCAGCGCCGGCGACCGCATGGAGGGGCCCGCGACCCAGGCCGAGGCCGAGCAAACGCCCGCAGGGCCCGCGAGAGCGGCGCGCGGCCAGCGGCGCGCACGCCCGCCGGGCCGCGAAGCGCCGCGAGCCCGCGGACGAGCACCGCCCGCGGCCCCGCGAAGCGGCGCGCGCGCCCGCGCGGCACCGCCCGCCGGGCCCCGCGAAGCGGGCGCGCGCGCCGCGGCCGCGCTACCGCCCGGCCAGGGCCCCGCGAAGCGGCGCGCGCGCCGCGGCCGAGCACGCACAACCCGAGGGGCACGAGAAGCGGGGCCCGCGCTAACACGCGCCGGGCACCGAAGGCGGCCCGCGAACCATGGAAGCGCCCGACGCACAGGCCGCGCGGGACCGGAAGCGCGCCAGCGCGGCCCCTGGCGGGCGCGCTACAGTGACCGCCGGGCCCCGTCGGAGCGCGCCCGGACGCGGCCGCGGGCGGCACGGCCGCAGGTCCCCGGGAAGCTAGCTCCCAGAGCACGCTCCCGACGGGAACCGCTAAGATTGCCCACTCGGCCGGCCGTTCGGCACAAGCAGGCAGGGACCGCGAAGATGGCCCGCGCGAACGGGCCGCTCGACAGCCCCCTGGCCCCTAGAAGCTGTCTATGCTCGCACTCGCGCGGCACCTCCCTCCTGCCCCCAGCAAGCTATCCCGCGCTCCCTTGCCCTCTATACCCTCTGTTCCAGCTCCCCCCTATTTTCCCCTCCCACTAAACCTCCCACCACGCCCACGCCAATACCACCCTCTCCCCCCAAACCCCCACCACCCGCACGCGCCCAACCCCGCCCAGCTCTAAAGTTCAAAAGAAAGTTCTGAAGTTCAACTCGAGACGCGACGAAGAGGAAGTAAAACTGAGGATGAACGAGGGATGTCGAGTGAGGATACGACCAAGATGACGAAACCAGAGCACGAGGAAGAAGCCAGGAGACGGAAAGGTCAGTAGACGGGGCCGTGACGCAACCGGCGAGGGGGATATGGGGGGAGGGAGGGGGGGGAGGGGGAAAGGGGGGAGAGGGGGATATGGGGGTTAGGGGGAGAGGGGGATATGGGGAGGGAGGGGAGAGGGGGACATGGGGGGAGGGGAGAGGGGGACATGGGGGGAGGGGAGAGGGGGACATGGGGGGAGGGTCGAGGGGGACATAGGGGGAGGGACGAGGGGATAGGGGGGGAGGGGAGGGGGGATATGGGGGGAGGGTCGAGGGGGATATGGGGGGTGGGAGGGTCGAGGGGGACATGGGGGGAGGGTCGAGGGGGATATGGGGGGGAGGGAGGGGAGAGGGGGATATAGGGGGGAGGGGGAGAGGGGGACATGGGGGGAGGGGAGAGGGGGACATGGGGGGAGGGTCGAGGGGGACATAAGGGAGGGACGAGGGGATAGGGGGGGAGGGGAGGGGGGATATGGGGGGAGGGTCGAGGGGGATATGAGGGGTAGGGAGGGTCGAGGGGGACATGGGGGGAGGGTCGAGGGGGATATGGGGGAAGGGGAGAGGGGGGACATGGGGGGAGGGGAGAGGGGGACATGGGGGGAGGGGAGAGGGGGACATGGGGGGAGGGGAGAGGGGGACATGGGGGGAGGGTCGAGGAGGATATGGGGGGAGGGTCGAGGGGGACATGGGGGTAGGGTCGAGGGGGACATGGGGGGAGGGTCGAGGGGGACATGGGGGGAGGGGAGAGGGGGATATTAGGGGAGGGGAGAGGGGGACATGGGGGGAGGGTCGAGGGGGACATGGGGGGAGGGGGAGAAGGGGATATGGGGGAAGGGTCGAGGGGGACATAGGGGGAGGGACGAGGGGATAGGGGGGAGGGGAGGGGGGACATGGGGGGGAGGGTCGAGGGGGATATGGGGGGGAGGGAGGGTCGAGGGGGACATGGGGGGAGGGGAGAGGGGGATATGGGGGAGGGGAGAGGGGGACATGGGGTGAGGGTCGAGGGGGACATGGGGGGAGGGGAGAGAGGGGATATGGGGGGAGGGTCGAGGGGGACATGGGGGGAGGGTCGAGGGGGACATGGGGGAGGGTCGAGGGGGACATGGGGGGAGGGGAGAGGGGGATATGGGGGGAGGGGAGAAGGGGATATGGGGGAGGGTCGAGGGGGACATGGGGGGAGGGTCGAGGGGATATGGGAGGAGGGGATATATATATATGTATATATGTTTAAATGTATATATTTCAACACAAACACACTAACGTGTACACAATGAGGAAATGGAAAACAGCCACAATATATATATATATATATATATAAATACAAATATATATATGTATATATATATGAATATATATATATATAAATACATATACATACACACACACACATATATATATATATATTTTTTTTTTTTTTTTCAATAGCCATTCATTCCACTGCAGGACATAGGCCTCGCTCAATTCAGTATTGAGAGGTTACATGGCAGTGTCACCCTTGCCTGATTGGATGCCCTTCCTAATCAACCGCGGTTCGGCGCGCTAACACCTGTGCCACGGCGGTGACTTCCCCTACAACACCTGCGTTTGACTTCTCAAGGCGATATGTCGTTTTCTCGGGCTCGAGGTAGCAGTCAGAGCGCAGGCATTTTTAGGACTGCCGCGACGCGGAATTGAACCCGGGACCACGAGTGTCGGAGTCCAGTGCTCTAACCACTGAGCTATCGCGGCAGTTATAGTCGACTTCATTTAATCTACGGGGAGTATTTCAATCCACTTGATTGGCAGCTTTATTGCTTTAGCCACAATCCCCATTAAAAAAAAAAAAAAAAAAAAAAAATTTGATTTTATAGGATATATATATATATATATATTATA